GTTCTCTTATTACTTGACGAGGATTTGTGGACTTATGCCACATTCGAGTGGGATATTTCTTGCAGGGTTGTTCATCAGAGCACCAAGAGTTCATTCGTTTTGGCAAATGTTTTCTTCTGGATGGCAAGACCGTGTCCAGCCTCCATGGTGATGTCGCACAGGCATAGCTCGTCTTCAACGCCATTGAGCCAGTAGTCTGATTCAATAAATCCTTTAGATTTCATTCTGGTAGCTGTAAACTGGTAGTAACCATTAAAACACACCGAGAAACCCGTATTCCGTCTATAAGCAAGTAGAATTTGAGTCCGGCTGAAAGATTCTCAAGATCTGTTGCTCCTAAACCCCCAAATCCGCACGTTTCAATTCACGAAGAATCCCTACATACACCACACTCTAAAATGTCCTAGAAGCCGTGCGATTGTCACTTGCCCATTAAATGTGCAAATGCTTTTGAGATGTTTCAAAAGTGTATTGGTGATAACGAGTTGACATTCTGTTTTGATCTTCAACGCGTTGGTTGAAAACAAGCTGAATAAAATATGAAAGATGCTATAGTCACAATTGCGAAATCAGAGCATCTCAGTCACCTGTTACCATCACCTAACCTTGTTTCAAGGCCTTTTCGATCACATAATGTTACTGAGTTTAATTACAGAGTCTGGTAAGGACGTGGGCAGGCAAGTGGTTGACTGGATCGATATCCCATAGGTAAGTTTAAAACGAGTCCCAAATCAATGGTTACTAAGTGGGTTTTTAACACGGAAGTCTGGCGCTATGTGACAGAGCCACCGAGAGAGATGGGCGTGTCAGCTGTGAATTGGACTTCACCGTTAACTATAGCCAGTTCCTAGAGCCTCTGAAAGCATCGGTGGTCAAGGAGAATTCGTCTTGAGGTACTTCGATTAGACGTAGTACGCTGGCTACGAAACTGTAAGCAAAAGATGAACGGTTTCTTTCCAATGTTCAGAATTTTCATCCGTTTGAAGCATGCGTTTCAAGGTTAAATCGTCGTAAGATGTGAATAGTTCGGGCAGGAAATTTGGTTCACCAATGAGACACATCAAAACTGATCATAAACTGCCTGTCGAGCATAAAACACGACTGCACACTTACGAGTAGATCTAACGGAAATATTGGATCTCAACATTCGATCCCAATGTTTTGCACGATTTTCTTTCCACTAGGAGACAAAATCTTGTCTCCATGGTTCCATGTTCGACCAGAACTAGCTTGCCGTTTTCAAGACAGAAAAAATGTTCTTTGTCTGATTTAAAGGAAAAGATAGGAAAGTGTGAAAGTTTCTGTGATTCAAGACTGTAAATGGGTATTTTTTACGCGGAAAGTCGAAGAAAACTAGGGTAGTATAAATGCTTCCATGAATAATCCTGCAAATATCGCGCTCTACTCAGGAAAGCAGCAAGTGATGTACAGTCACCCCGAACGTGATTTGCAAACTCTTATCAGAGGTCTTGCTCAAATTGCGTAGGATTTTTTATCACTTTGTGTGAATACCTGCTCTCGAGTCGAGAACAAAAAATCTTCTACAGTCATGACCTCTAAGGAGTTCACCACCATCGGGTGAAACGTGTGACTGTTGAGATAAACGAGAGGCATTTTTGACATGGATGCGTTTATTTTTGCACGTGTTGCTGGTTTATTTTTTGCTTGTCGGATTTACTGCACTTCTGTGGCACTGGAAAGCTGCTCTACTTCTCATTCTGACGTCACTTGATCATATAATTACACAGCAGCCTTGCCAGACCATATCTTTGCTGGTTTTATCATAACCAACCACATCCCAGTGCTTTCATCGATTTTCCATTTTACGGATAGGACTGACTTCACGGATGAACGGGCTGTATGCAGTGACGTATTGGTGATTAGCTTAGGCCACAGACACTCGCTTTTCTAGACAAAACCTCAGTCAGTCTCTCCTGGCGAGTTCTACTCATACATTCACACGCACACATATACAATGCAACGCCGTATATCTGCTGTGTAGACTCAAAATCGTCACTGGCGAAATGCCCTCATTTGCACACTGTTTTGGTTTAAACTGGGGCCTCAAATTAGTCCCAAATGAATCTCGACTGAATGTGCAGCACAAAGACCGCCCGATGTACGATACTCGGGAGGTCACAGCCTACTTTTTCGAATGAAATTACTAATGAGGCAACCGAAATTCCTTTTACATCTCATGACATGCATCATCCTTGTGGAGGATCATTAGGTAAGCACAGTTCCTGGTTTTCCGATAACGTCATGTTGCATATGAACCAAAATTTTTGCAGCCTAGATTCAGGTTCGTGTCGAAGTAAAATCAACTCAGTGAACAAGTGAGTGTACTTCGCGAATTTATTTCAATCTGAGTCCAAGTAGAGCGTGAAATTCACTGAACCTAGAAGACTTTACCTACTTGGTATGTCCAAAGAAGGGCAAACTCGCAAGGAAGTGAGGAAGAAGGGCTTCCGCAATACTTCAGAGTACTCATAAGTAGTTTCCTCCAAGATACCCACTTCTGTTCCACTCATTATTCCAACCATTATTCGAACCAACCGTATATCATTCATTCATTTGTAACTCATTGAAACGGAAGTGCTACGCCTCATTCTAAATATACTTGTGTTTTTCTGCAAAAACCTTTCCGGATACCAGTTTGCTTTGTGCTCAACCTAGATGATAGATTGCGCAGAACTCAATAATATCAGCGTGGTGTCAAAATCACTTTCTGGTGATCAAATATAAAATTTAAATGAGCAAAATAAGTTGAAACTTTCTTGTGAGCGTACCAGGTTATGCAAACATTTACGAATTCTGAAAGATTTCCCTTCGCTGGCCTTGATTGAATGAGTGTTGTGTAGTGCGACCAGATGGGCGAGACGTATCTGGTTATGATTAGCCCCCCATATGTAAATCGGGTGGGATTTTGGAGACCCAGCGAAGTATGGGTGAATGTTATCGTGGCAGGACGTTGGGTGTCAGTGTTCACGTCGGCCCATGGCACATTTATGGACAACCTCTGAACGTGGATAGACGAAGGTTAGATATCAGACAGTCAATTGCTCACCACACGTGACAATTTAACCCGTTTCCGGAACTTCAATGGGGCTACGTTTATGCGTGAAGGTCGAACATGATCGACATCCCATTGATGACCAAGCCCTCTGCATTCAAGTGTGTAGTGGGCAGAAGTATCGATGACATTAGCCTCTGTATTCATTTCAGCGGGAGCCAGAATTATTAGCACACGGACTATCTTGCGATTTTTTGACCTCATCTTTGACAAATCTAAAGAGAGTTGGGTTATGAGTATGGGTTATGGCCAGATTAATCCTCCATCTACTGAATTCGACGTACACAGTCTTTGGCGATATCAAACGACATGTCATCATCATCATCATCGCCATCATCATCGACAGCATGACATCAGTGTTCAACACCGATGCTTTACTGCCGTACAACCATGAAAGAAGAAAAGAGTAAAGGTGGACGGGGAAGGGACTTAGTGCTAGCTTAACACATTCTGAGGTGCCTATACACCCAGACACTCACTCAGGCGATCTAGATAGAAATTGGCAACAAGAACGGCACTGACATCGATTGCAACCGTATCTTGTGGTGTGTCCAACCTGGCACAGTGAGGATCACGCGGTCCCCATCCGGGAAGGCGAGTAGCACCGACAGCACCCAAGCGTTTAGTGATCTCCTTCATACTCCTGTGTCAATTCAAGGGTTGATCACATCTCTGTTTACGCCATTTTGAGTTGGGCATGGAAAACAGCACTCTTCGGCAAACGATGGTTCGGCATACGTAACACATGTCCCAACCAACGCAGCTTCTGGTGCTGGACACATTCTTCAATGGAAGTACTACTGATCAGGAGCCGTCAGAACAATTTACCCTCCATTGATGGAACCGATGAATGTTTTCGATATCAGGGACTTTTATTCCAAAGTATGAAAGTCAGAATTAGCAACGCCAGGGGACGACTGCTCAAAATCTACGGCTTATTCTACTGCAGGCATGAAGGGGTGCTGCTAAGAAAGTAATTTTAAAGAATTGGTCAACCTAGTATACGAACCAGATATTCAGTTCACATACTGTTCGTACACAAGTAAGAGGTGCGAACTGGTAATGATGGCTTGGGAGCTGAATTTTCCTCTTACCTAATAATGTATGACATCCGAAAGAGTTTGGTCATTCGATTGCGGCGGCTACCATCCACGCTATCTCTATGAGAGATTTAAATAAATCAGTAAGGGAAATGAATTTAGGATGTCTTTGGTTACTCAGACCGCCAAAATCCAGATATGTACGTCTCGCTTTTGAATGTCGAAAAACGTTTGAGGGCATTTCAACCCGCGTTAGCCAGAAATCAAGCTACTCATAATTTCATCTTTGGCAGTAATGGAATCGATCTGTTTTATTGATTCAACTCCAGTCACATGTTGGGCCAGCATTCTTAATTGTTACGGCAGAAATCGTCAAAAAGTGTTGTCTGAGGATTTCACCGACCAAAGTTCGTTTTATTGGAAGATTTATCCACGGTAGCCGTAGATGGAAAGCCTTTGGGAGCTTTCCGAAACACCTTGTGTTTTCGGTTGTGCTCCACGGGATGCTCGAGGTGGACGATATTCTTCTGGAGTATCTGTTTTTCATAAACTAGAACACAAGAGAAATACACTCATTTGCAAACAA